TTGAGTTCTTGTCTTGACTTTCCCAGCAATGATGAACTACAATCTGGAATTGTAATCTAGATTTTCTCCCCAAATTTCTTTTGTCAAAGTATTTTATCCAAGCAACAGAAATGAAATCAGGACAATACTTATTCACTGATTAGTTATGCCAAAAAAGGAGAAAATAAGTACTCTTGTATGTGAACACATAGGAAAAAAGATGATTGTATATACCTAAAACAGCTGTTTTCACTTCTTCTTGGAATTATCAATATTTTTTTCTTTCTCTTATTTGTATTTTGTTATGTCTTAATGCAATACTGTAAGTTATCAAAAACAATCACATGGGGAAAAGAAAACAAATGTCAACATGTATCACTTGGCAATTTCTAGTCCTCAAAATAATGCTTTAAGATTACACCTGCAGGGAGTGGAGAGACGGCTCAGTGGTTAAGAACACTGACTATTCTTGCAGAAGACCCAGGTTCGAATCCCAGCACCCACATGGCAGCTAACAACTGTCTGTAACTCCAGTCCCAGGGGATCTGACCTCCATGGGCACTGCACAACACAGGTGCACTTACCTACATGTAGGCAATACATGCATACAAATAAAATAAAAATAATTCTTAAAAAAGTAAAAAAAAAAAAAGATTACACCTGCAAACCAGGTATGCAGGCACATGCCTATAATCCTAGCACCTGGAAGACTGAGGCAGGAGACTTGAGAATTTTGAGGTTAGCCTGGGCTACATAGTGAGACTATATCTTCAACAGATTTTTTTTTTGTCTTTTTGAAACAGGGTCTCCCTGTAGCCCCAGCTACTATGTAGACCAGGCTGGCCTTGAACCCACAGAGATCCACCTGCCTCTGCCTCCTGAGTGCTGGGATTAAAGGCGTGCACCACCACGCCCGGTGCTTAACAGATTTTTTTAAAAAGATTAAAAAAATGTTACTGCAGAGATAAAAATTAGTTTTCCTATTCTTGTTCTTTTCATCAACTAGATAGAGCTTCCTTAACTCGAAGTAAATGTTGAATTATATTATTTCTTAGACTAAGTCAAGGACACAGTCTCTTCTTCCAGCATGCTAACCACATGCTTTATTACTCAACTATACCTCCAGCCCTTCCTCTTCTCTTTATACCTACAGGATTTTCCAGCCAAGGCTAAGAATCTACAAGAGCAGACAGATCTAAGGTATGAATGATGGTGTATAGAAACCTGAAATTTCTTTCCCTTCTATGTTCTTTAGTATACAAGCTAAAGAGCTACAAGTTTACTTAAGGCGTTCCCTGCGCCCCATTTTTTATTATTTTTATTTTATGTGTATGAGCGTATGAGAGTATTGCCTGCATGTAAGTGAGTGCATCTGTGTCGTGCAATGCCACAGAGGTCAGCAGAGAGTTTCAGATTCCCCTGGAACTGGAGTTAAGGATGGTTTGTAGCCGCCATGTGGGTGCTGGGAATTGAACTAGGGTCCTCTACAAGACAGTCAGTGCTCTTAACCGCTGAGCCATCTCTTCAGCCCTTAAGGTGTTTTTTTATGTATATGAGAGTAATGCCTGCATATGCGTAAGTGCACCCATGTCATGCAATGCCTGCTGATGTCAGAAGAGGGCATTGGATCCCCTGTAGCTGGAGTTAGGATGGTTGTTAGCCATATGAATGCTGGAAATTGAATCTGGGTCCTCTGCAAGAGCAGTCAGTACTCTTAACTGCTGAGCCATCTCTCCAACCCCTGACTTAAAGCTTTTTTTTTTTTTTTGGTCTTTTTGAGACGGGTCTCCCTGTAGCCCCAGCTGGCCTGGAACTCACTATGTAGACCAGGCAGGCCTTGAACTCAGAGATTCACCTGTCTCTGCCTCCCAAGTGCTTGGATTAAAGGTGTGTGCCACCATACCTGGCTGACTTAAGTCTTTTTATAGTCACTGCATATGATTCTGATTCCTCATTTTGCTTAGTCCTTTTTAATAACTATGAGATAAGCATTGTTATTCCTACTTCATAACATGGTTCAGAGAGCCAGTTAGTAATGGAGCCAGGATTTGATATGGACCTGTTTAGTGCCAAAGTCCTGGTTCTTTGGACTGCATGATACTTCTTGCATTTTATTCTGAAGTTATTAAAAGAAAAAAAAAATACCCTAAGCTTTTAAATAATACCTCAGAACAAAGAAATAATACTGACTACAACAGTCAAAAAGTGCACTTATGTTAGTTCTCATTTTATAGGTTAATTTGGGCTATGAATTTGGGCTATGAATTTACTTGAATTTTGTCAGGGACCCAATGCAGTCACACAGCTTAAGCAGGCTCCATTATAGAATATTCCTTTGTCACTAAAGGATCTTCAGGCATATACACATTTAAATCACTGCTACTGCAAACAAAAATCTGTTTTGAGATAGGATCTCACTCTTTAGTATGGGCTGGCCTGAACTCACTTTATTAGTCTAGGCTGGCCTTGAACTTGCAGCAAACCTCTTGCCTCAGCCTCCTGAATGCTAAGATTATGAGTCAACACACTTGGTTTACAAACAAAAATCTTAAATGATAAACCATGCATCAGAAGGAGAAAATAATTTATCAATAATGTAGAAAAAAGTATATTGTACACTTAAAATCTTTATTTATCATCTATGTTATATGTATGAGTGTTTTGCCTGCATGTGTGTAAGTGCACCCATGTCGTGCAAAGTCCATGGAGGCCAGAAGAGGGTGTCAGATCTCCTGGAATTGGAGTTACGGACAGTTGTTAGCTGTTATGTGGGTGCTGGGAATCAAACCTGGGTCCTCTGGAGGAGCAGCCAGTGCTCTGAACCAGTGAGTCATTTCTCCAGTCCCCTATTGTACATTTTAAATAAACAAAATTAGGTAAAGCACAAAATAGAAAACCAGAGAAAGACCTAGTTTAAATACTGATTTATAATTTAAGTAACTTTAAAAACCCATTTATGAGAATGGAGGATGGGGAGATGGCTCAGTGGGAGGACTTGAGTTTGGATTCCCAGCACCCATATAACTTAAGTCAGGTGCAGCTCTGTGTACTTATAACCTCAACTGAGGGAGCAGAGACAGGAGGATCACTGGGGATTACATCTTGCCACCTGCCAGATGATCCAAAACTGAGTTCAGTAAGAGACCCTATCTCAAAAAAAAATTATGTGCAGAGCAATACGGGAAGATACCCAGCATCCACCTCTGGTCTCCACACATACAAACAAGTACACTCACACCAGAGAATGGGTTATAATACACCTCTACTACCTGTGATGAAAGTTTCAACCAAGCAAAGTCAGGAGTAGTGGTGCAAGCACCTGCAGGTCAAAGTAGTAGGATTATGAATTCCAGGCTGGTCAGGACCACAGAGCAAGACCCAGTCACAAACAAACAAACAAACAAACAAACAAACAAACAAACAATCCAAAAAGTCAAGTGTCAACTATGAAGGGCATTTTAGAATACTGATGTACTAATTACAAATCACCCTGAGCAGCTTTGCCAAGGAAAACCTATGTCAGCTACATAGTCTAAATTACTCATGTTCTTTTATTTCTTCACTCAAAGCCTTTTCTTCCTATTATAGAAGTATATGCACACTATAGAAATTTAGGCATGTGCTCTACCAATGAGCTACATATAGCCAGAGTTGTAGGAAATTTAAAAATGAAAAATTATTTTTGGTTTTGGTTTGAGACAGGGTCTCCCTGTAGCCCTACTAGGCCTGGAACTCACTATGTAGACCTCACTGACCTTGATCGCACAGAGATCTGCCTGCCTCTGCCTTCTGAGTGCTGGGATTAAAGGCATACACCACCATAGCTGTCCTTAAAACTGAAATTATAATTTATTCATTGTGTGTGTGTGTGGGGGGGTTATATTGGTGGTGGTCAGAGGACAACTTTTGGGAGTTCTCTCTACCATGTAGGTCCTGGGAATTGAATTCAAGTCACCAGGCTTGGCAACCATGTATTAGTCAGGGTTCTCCAAAGAAACAGAACCAGTAGAATGAATATATATGTTTAGAGATTTATCAGCTTAGCACACAGGATAGAGTCTGAGTAGTCCAACAATGGCTGCGCCACACTGGAGAGGCTGAGAATCCGTAGTTGCTCAGTCTACAAGGCTGGAGGTCTCAGCAGTCCCAATCTGGCACTGAAGGTCTGACGAATTCCAAAAGATCAGCTAGTCTTCAGTCTACAGCAGCAAGAGGAACTCACCAGCGAGAGAGAAGGCAAGCAGCAAGAAGCCTGGTGTTCTCCTCTACCTTGGCCTTTTATACTGGCTGCCATCAGAAGGTAACACCCACATTTCGGTTGTGTCTTCCAGCTTCAGATGATCCAATCAAGAAGATCACTTTCATTTCAGTTAATCCCAGATCCAGTCAAGTTGACACCCAGGATTAGCCATCACAGGGGGTTATATTGGTGGTGGTCAGAGGACAACTTTTGGGAGTTCTCTCTTTCTACCATGTAGATCCTGGGATTGAATTTAAGTCACCAGGCTTGGCAACCAATACCTTTACCCACAAAGCCATCTCATCAGCCCCAAGAAGTAAAAATTTAAAACCCAAACTCTTCACTAAGAGATGAGCAGAGCTGGCACAGAACTACATAGCCTTTGGAAATGTTTCTATGTGACAGTGTGCATGTTTGGGGGTTAATGAAAATGAAACTATCATTTATGTTGCCTGGTTTATTTGTATGTTTTGAAAGGGTCTCGCTGTGTAGCTCAGGCTGGCTTCGAGCTCATAGAGATCCTACCCTGCCTCCCAAGTGCTGGGATTAAAGGAGTGTCCCACCACACCAGGCACTGTTGCCTTCTTAAATTCTCATATGAGGTGACCACATTTCCATGCCAGTAACAATATGCATCCTATTAGTAATTAATCACGACTATGAACCTTGAGGTAACTGCACATGCTTTGTAAGCACAAGTAGTGTTTCAGTAAGGACCTTATCCATGTGGCACTCAAGATTCTCACTATTTACCAACCTAGATTTCAGAACAGAGTCTTACCTTGCAATAACAGATTCAACTGGCATGATGCCAGGCACATAGTGGGCCATAGGAGAAACAAAGTGTCCATCTAGGATCTTACAGTCTGACTGCTCTTCAACCTAAAAGAAATGAAAATCAAGGTGTATGTAAACCAACTAACATATTAAGATATCAAGATATCACAAAATTTTCTTCTGTCCTTTTAAATTTATTTGTTTTTATTTATATGTAGATAAGTGTTTTGCCTGTATGTAAGTGCATCCATGCATGCAATGCCCATGAATGGAAGAAAAGGGTGTTCGATCCCTGGTTGGAGCCCCTGGAACTGGAGTTACAGACGACTGTTAGCTGCCAAGTGGGGGCTGGAAATAGAAGCCAGGTCCTCTGCAAGCACTGCCCTGTGCTCTTAACCTCTGAGCCATCTCTTCAGCCCCTCATGAATCTTCTTTTTCTCCTAGTAAAAAAATCCACTTGGTAACACATGGTAGTGCATGCCTCTAATCCCAGCACTTGGGAGGCAGAGGTAGGCAGATCTCTGTGAGTTTGAAGTCAGCCTGGTCTGCAAAGCAAGTTCCATAGTTCCAGACCAGCCAAGGCTATAAAATGATACCCTATCTCAAAAAAAAAAAAACAAAAACAAAACAAAACAAAAAAAACATTCCATTCCCCCTCTTCTGGAGAAACATGGGATCTTGTACATAAGCCTTGTTGCTCTTATCTACAGGAGCTCTGCCACTGCAGAATGTGAGCCACATCCTCAGCATCAAACTTTTTTTCCCTTGTGTTTACTGTTTCCTTTTAGGCCCGTTGTGCTTTTTTTTTTTCCCCATCAAAAATGTGTTTTTACTTATGACTATTTACAGCTTCGTATTCATTTAAATAATGTCATGGAACTGATACCTTCTTAAATATTTCATTCTTTTCTTTCAAACTCTTCCATTTACATTTATCTTACATGGAATTACCCATTGTACCTTTTAAAGACAGCTTCTATATATACCTATTTATCTTCCTTTTACACATATTGTCTAGTTGGGAAAATAAATAATAAATCAAATTCATACACTGGTAGGCAATATCTCAAAATAAAATACTAGTTGAGGGAATTCAGTAAGACTGGGAGTTTAGTTCAGTGATAGACTGACTACTTACGTAGCAAGCACGAGACCCTGGGTTCAATCCAATGTACCACAAAAACAGAAATAATAACATTCACAAACAGAAATCAAAAGCACAATTTACAAGCAGTAATAATTTAGCACACTCTTAAGCAGATATCAAATATGCTACAGTGGTTTTGATATCACGCTACCTTCTAATATATTAAATAAGGAGAAACAGGTTTTCTATGTACAGTAAAAGTAACTGTACTCAGATGTGGAGGCACATGTGATCATTGCTACACTTGGGAAGCTGGGGCAGGAGGCTCACAAGTTCAAAGTTAGTTTGGATTCTATAGCAAGGTCCTAGCTCAAAAAATCTAAACAAAAAAGAAAAGGTGATTTTGCTGACATTCAATACTTAAACTTCTTTTTTAAGTAGAACTTTTTTTTTTTTGTCTTTTTGAGACAGGGTCTACCTGTAGCCCCAGCTGTCCTGGAATTCACTATGTAGACCAGGCTGGCCTTGAACTCACAGAGATCTGCCTGCCTTTGCCTCCTGAGTGCTGGGATTAAAGGCATGCGCCACCACGCCTGGCTGTAGAATTTATTTTTAAGTTAAAAACAACAACAAAAAACCAATTGCAGTACATTGAGCTCCATAGAGACAAGTGCTGGGGCAAGTGAGAGCTGTATGGGCACTGGGTGACTCTGTGCCTCCCTGAGGAAAAACAACTAAACATGGGCAAAGGAGATCCTAAGAAGCCAAGAGGCAAAATGTCATCAAATACATTTGAGAGACCTGAGTGACTCCATCATAAAACTTCCATGGGATTGACCCAGTCCTGAGCCCTGTTCCAGGAAAAAAACCACACACACAAAAAAAGTATACTTGGAACAGATAGAGAACAACTCCCCCACCAACGGTCAATTAACCAGGGATAGGAAAGTACTAAAAGTGCAGATGTCTTTTCAGATTTCCTGAAGCCAGCAGTTTATGGTTTGGCACTGGGCTGTAACCAATCAGATGCTTGCCAGACTGGAGACCCCCTACTCCCCTATTTGCTGAACTTGCTGAACTACACCTATAAAAACCTCTGTCTCCCAAAGCAAGGGGTCTCACATCTGAGATCCGTTGGGTTGGTGACAGAGTGGGCCCAAACTTAAGCTTGTAACAATAAAAAACCCTGTGTGTTTGCATCAGGTTGGCTCCTTGGTGGTCTTTGGGGTCTCGTGAACTGGGCACATCTTGGGGGCTCATCTGGGATCCCCAAGACGCCCCCCAGGACCCCTGCACCGGAGGGTTCCTGGCTGGCCAGTAAGTGTCTGTTTCTAGTTGTGCTTGTCTGTGTCTGTCCTAGCTTTTGTTCTGAGCCTCGAGGCAAACTTGTGAACAGTGTGATCAGGAGCAGTTGGAGCGGACGCGCTGGATGACCATGACCACAGAGGTCTGGAAGACGTTCCAGACCCCGGCAGAGGGGACGGAGGGCCCTGGACTCTGTTGATTTCTGTGAAAGGACAAGGCGGGTCACTCCCGCGGCACAGCAGTTTGCCGCTGTCCTACTTTCAGTTTTTCTTCTGCATGAGCGGGGGAATTTGCTATGTGGCCTTCTATGTGTCTTTCTGGCTCTCTGTTTTGTCTTTGGTTATCTATTTCTCTGTGACTGAGGTGGACACAATGGGACAGATTCCCTCTACACACCTGGACCTGGTTCTTGCACATTTTGGAGAGGTTAAGACTCAAGCCCATAACCTCTCTGTTGTTGTCAGGAAGAATAAACTACTTTCTGCAGGTCTGAATGGCCCACTTTCAACATGGGATGGCCCTTGGAGGGGACCTTTGATCCCACTGTCATTAACGCACTTGAGAAAATTATTCTTCAACCACATGTGGGATGCTTGGATCAAATATCATACCTAGTGGTCTGGGGAGATGTAGTTAATAACCCCTCCTCCTTGTGTCAAGTCTTTTCTTCCTTTACAGAAAACTGAGGTGCTGACAGCTGCAGAACAACCCAGAAAGCACCTAAGCCTGAAACCAAACCATCAGTACTGTCACTGTACCCTGCCTTACAGGGCAGCACAGAAGAAGATCTAATTTTTCCTCTCCCTCCTTATCCACCTCCTCCACAGGAGGTACACCCTCCGGAACCAGCACCCCTGGTGCCAGATTCTTCACAGGCACAGGGGGGACCGGCTCAGGGGACTAGGAGTGGAAGGGCAGCAACACTGGAGGGTCCAGACTCTACTATTCTACTCCTCAGAGTCGCCAGCCCCACAGATGAGGCTGGTACCCAGCTCCATCACTATTGGCCATTCACCACTAGTGACCTTTACAACTGGAGGACCCAGAATGCTCCCTTTTCTAAAAATCCTAAGGAGCTTATTAATTTATTAGAAACTGTCTTATTCACACACCAACCCACTTGGGATGACTGTCATCAATTATTACAGGTCCTGTTTACCACAGAGGAAAGGGAATGTATCCAAACAGAAGCCAGGAAATTAATTCCCAGCAATACTGGTGTCCCTCCTACTGACCCGACACTGATTGATGCTGCCTATCCACTGACCTGGACTGATTGAGATTATAATACTGCAGAAGGTCAGGAGAGGCTTCTGGTTTACTGCCAGGCTCTGTTGGCAGGTCTCAAAGCAGCTGCCCATAGGCCAACTAATTTGGCAAAGGTATACAATATTAGTCAGGAACTAAATGAAAGCCCAGCTGCATTCTTGGAGTGAACAATGGATGCCTTCCGCAGGTACACTCCATTAGACGCAGCGGCCAAAAATAATTTAGCGGCAGTGGCCATGGCTTTTATTAACCAGTCGGCTCTGGATATTAAAAAAAAGCTCCAAAAAGTAGAGAGACTGGGTAAAAAGAGCTTAAAGGATTTAATAACTGTGGCCGAAAAAGTGTATAATAATAGGAATAGTACAGAAAAAAAACAGATAAAGGCAGAAAGGAGGCAGAACAAGGACCTGGCAAGGATCCTGCTGGCTGTCACTGCAGATCCAGAGGACCCGCGGAGGCGTCTGAGACCCGATAGCGTCGGGGAAAGGAGTCTCTTGCAGTATATGGATGACATACTTGTAGCGGCAGACAGCCAAGAGGCTTGCATGGACGGCACAGAATGCCTGTTGCAGATGTTGGGAAGCCTGGGCTATCAGGCCTCTGCTAAAAAGGCCCAAATATGCAAACAACAGGTCCAATACTTGGGCTATATACTCAAAGAAGCTCTACTGGTAAAAGATGCTGACAAACTGACTTTGGGCCAGAAGGTGACCATCACACACCACATGCAATTAAAGGAGTTTTAAAGCAGCCCCCAGACAGATGGCTAAGTAACGCTTGTATAACTCATTATCAGGCATTACTTCTTAATCCTGCTAGAATCACCTTTCAGGTATCAGTTGCCCTGAATCTAGCCACACTCTTGCTGGACCCAGACTTGGATGCCCCCCTGTATGACTGTGCCGGAATCCTGGCCCATGTCCATGGTACCCGATCAGATTAGAGAGATACCCCGTTATCTGATGCTGAAGTAACCTGGTTCACTGACGGGAGCAGCTTTGTCCAGGACGGCAAGAGATATGCAGGGGCAGCTGTAGTATCATTAACTGGCATCATTTGGGCAGAGCCTCTGCCCACTGGCACTTTGGCCCAAAAGGCTAAACTTATTGCCCTAAGGTGTTGATATTAGAAAAGGACAAAAAGCTTAATGTGTATACAGACAGCCGATATGCCTTTTCCAGTGCACATGTTCATGGGGCAATATATCGGGAACGGGGCTTATTAATGGCAGAGAGAAAGATTATCAAAAATAATAAAAAAAAATCCTAACATTGTTAAAGGCTCTCTGGCTGCCAAAGAAATTGGCAATTATCCACTGCCCAGGTCATCAAAAAGGGGACGATCCAATTTCCCAAGGAAACAATCAAGTGGATCAGGTGGCTAAATAAGCTGCCCTCCAAATTAACTCAACCTTGGTCACCAGCTAATTGACCCAGGTGACCCA